TTTTGAGTGTGTATGACGAGATATTCAGATGCGTAATTTAAAATAGGACATCCTATATATATATATATATATATATATTTAAATAAATATATTAGGTGTACAACTTTGCTTCCGTCGTTTTTCTATAGATGGCTTTAGCAGTAAGTGGTGGTCGAAATAAATAGATCATAGACGTCATACAATAAACTTGGGTATCTGTCGACATAACCCCATAGAAACATTAATCGATTTGTGTCTGCATCATAAAGTTATTCTCGATTGAAAATGTTACTTTACGAGCCAAATTTTCGTCATTTGTGGGAGGTTTTAATTTTCTGCTTCAATATGAAGAAATCTGCGGCTGAGGCTCATCGAATGCTCTCAAATACTTATGGTGAGGCCGCTATTAGTGAAAAAACGTATCGTAAATGGTTTCAACGCTTCGAGAACGGCGATTTTGACGTCGAAGCATAGCAGTGGAAGAGAGAAGGTTTTCGAAGATGCAAAATTGAAGGGATTACTTGATCAAGACTTGTGTCAAAATTAAGAAGAATTGGCACGATCATAGGGAGTGACTCAATAAGCCATTTCAAAACGCCTCAAAGCCATGAGAATGATTTAGAAGCAAGGAAATTGGGTGCCGTACGAATTGAAGCCGAGAGATGTTGAACGGCGTTTGTTTGCTTGTGAACAGCTGCTTGAAAGGCAAAGACGGAAGGGATTTCTGCATCGCATTGTGACTGGGGACGAAAAATAGGTTCATTACGATAACCCCAAGCGCAGAAAATCATGGGGAGTGGCCATGCTTCCACGTCGACAGCCAAACCGAATATTCACGGCTCCAAGGTTATGCTCTGTATTTGATGGGACCAGCTCGACGTAGTATATTATGAGCTGTTAAAACCGTTTGAGCCGAGCATTGAAAGACAAACGGCTGCAATACAACGAGAGACATGATAAAGTGATTTTGCAGCATGACAATGCTCGACCCCATGTTGCGAAAGTGGTCAAGACATACTTGGAAACGTTGAAATGGGAAG